CCTAATTTGGAATTGATGGATTTCTGTTCTGGCTTATTTGTGGGAAGATACTTTTGGTGGTTTGGCATTCTCTGGAATGTAGATTCATGTGTGTGTTATTCACTTACGTGGTTTCACACTTAAGTAATAATTATGATTGTTCTGGTCGATGTTAATTCGACAACTCTATTCTGATCGACATTAATTTGACAACTCTGATTGATTGATTGGTGTTACTGACGGGTAACCACATATGTTCTTTAGGCTACCCAAATAATACAACCTCCCACTCTGATTTTGAAAGTATAAATGAATGTAAGATTGTTTTGAATATTTGAATGATTTAGTTTATTCGAAAGTTTGAAAGTTGTATTAAATGTTTTAGAAGGACTTTTAAAAGTTTTGATATGTTTGTATTTTTATTACAAATATTTTGAAAGAGAAAAATGAATTTCAATGTTTGATATGGAAATTGTTTATTGTGTATTCTTGTACGCATCTTTCCGTTTCTAAATGTTTTCCGATGAACTGCTTAGATAGTGATTGAGGAATAGCGTTGTGGCATGAGGAGTCGGAAATCTTTATTATTTTCCATTTTTTTAGCTTATAAGAACTTAGTTAGTTCTAGTAGTTAATCTTTGGATTTATTATAGTATAAGTTTCTTTTTCAAAGTTTGACTTCTCCCCATTTTTTTGTCATAGTATCAAATTAAATAAATAAGTTTTTCATTTGATATAGTGTTTATTTGTTTACGCTTCCGCATTATTGTTAGAATGACCGTATTAGAAAATACGGGTTGGTTACATCGTCCATGAATACTTCCATAACTGACTCCACCAAATAAGAGAATATGACCATCGTACACCTTTGAAAGGTTGATGGGGCATTATAATTCTCCTTAAAGCAAATGTCCTATAAGGAATGGTGATTATTGTTTTTTGCTGATCTTGAGGAGCAATTGTTATTTAGTTATACCCACTATAACCGTCCAAAAAACAGTAATACTATTCCCTTGACAGTCTATCCTACATCTCATAAATGAAGGGGAGAGGGAAGTGTCCTTTTTGGTGGCCTTGTTGAGCTTCCTGTAGTCCATACAGATTCTCCATCCTGTTACTGTTCTTGTGGGAATTAACTCATTCTTTGCATTTTCCACAACCGTCATACCTCCTTTCTTGGGCTTTCACTACATAGGGCTTACCCATTCATTGTCAGAAATAGGATAAATAATCCTTGCATCTAGCCACTTAATTATTTCTCTTTTGACAACCTCCTTCATTGCATGGTTTAGCCTTCATTGGGGTTCTATTGAATTTCTACTAGCCTCTTCCAGCATAATTTGTGCATGCAAATAATGGGGATTATTCCCCTTATGTCAGCAATGGTCCAACCAATCACCCTCAGATGAGCTTTCAACACATCTAAAAGCCTCTGCTCTTTTTATTCTGATAGATTTGCAACGATTATGATAGGCAGAGTTTCTGAAGAATCCAAGTAAGCATATTTCAAGTGTTGTGGGAGTGCTTTGAGCTTCAATATGGGTGGATCTTCTGTAGATGGCTTAAGTGTGTTATATTCTCGGTTTGCAAGCTTCAACGACTCATATGCCTGTTTCACTGACTTCTCACTACTGCTCATATTCTATAGTTATATGATCTCTTAATCTTCAGTTGTGTCCTCATCACATGTTCCAACATCAACATTGCCAAGATGCTCCAACATTGCTTTTGCTCCTAATTCCTCTATCAGAGCTTCATCAAATCAGCACTAGAAATTCTTCTGATTCAGCAGGATATTTCATCGTGTCATACATTTAAAACTTCACTTCCTGGTCTTGCACCTGCATTGTCACTTTGCCCTTATGTACATCGAGTGCTCTTCTAGTGAATGGCCTTCCAAAGATGATAGGGACCTCTTTATCTGTATCATGATCCAAAATAATGAAGTCAACGGGGAAAATAAATGTGTCTACTTGTACCAGGACATCTTTGATTTTCCCTTCAGAATGCATAATAGATCAATCTGCCAGTTGCAATGTTACTGTTGTGGGTCGCACTTCTCCCATCCCTAATTTCCTGTAGATGGACAAGGGCATAAGGTTGATAATTGCTCCCAAATCACAGAGTGTTTGGCCTATCTTCTACCCACCTATAGACACTATTATGGTGAAGCTTCCAGAATCCTTCATCTTTCTTGGAATTTTGCTTGTAAGGATGGTACTACACTCCTTAGTGATCAGTGCTACCATTTTGAATTCTCCTGGGTTTCTCTTCTTCATAAGTATGTTTTTAAGAAATTTCACAAAGCTTGACATCTGTTCAATGCTTCCACCAATGGGATATTGACATGCATGTGCTTTATCACATCGAAGAACTTTATAAATTGAACATCTTAATCCTTTTTCTGTAGTCGCTTGAGATATGGTGGTGTGGGTCTATACTCGACTGGGGCATTTTCATGCCCCATTTGCTTTTGATTTTTGGTCATACGCACATGCGATGTCCCTGCATGGGTTGCATTAGCTTCAACTAGATTGACCTCTTTGCTAGTGTTATCCTGCGGTACCTTTGGTTGCTCATTAATCTATATTGCTGGGTTAGATAAAATTGTTATGTCTGGCTCGCATTCCTTGTCTGCCTCTGACTTTCCTTATTCCTATTGAGTTGATTCATTATGGGTTCAGGGAGCACTTGGATGGGTGGGAGGTAGTGCCTTCCCACTTCTCAATTTGAGAGCCCTACACTACTTTACCATCTCTCTTTAGGACTTCTGTATCACTTGAAATTGCTCTATATGGTCTATTCTTCATTTATGTTGTCAATTGGCCCATCTGAATTCCTAAATTATGGAAAGATGCGACTTGACTCTACACTATAGCATCATTCTATGCCATGTATGCCTTCATCAAATTCTCCAAGGAAGCAATTGTTCCCTCTGATTGCCTCTGAACTGCTAATTGACCTTGATTTATGAAATTAGGTGGGTAGTTTCCCTTATTGTTGGGGCATTTGATGTTCCTGCATTGTGTCCACCTTGATTTCCACCCGAGCTAAATTTGTGTCATTTCTCCATCCTGGGTTAAATTTGTTGGAATACAGGTTAATCCAGTTGTTCTGTGAATTCCATAGGTAGTAAACCGGTGCTGGGTTGCCTAGACAATCATTATAGTGATGCTCCATTCACAATAAGAGCAAGAAGTCTTTTAAAGGTGCTCACATTAGCCCTAGCAGTAGATGCTCCCACTGCAGTCTATTGTGTCATGATTCTCATCACTAAATTCGTTAGGTTCTCTATTTTGGAGTTTAGTGCAGAATATGAGTCAGCATCACTCAATCCCTTAGCACCTTTTCCTTGATTAGCTCGCGGGTCAGACCACTGGTGGTTGTTTGTGATATTCATTGTAAAATATTGAATGCTTCAGCATAGGGTTTGGCCAGAAGTGCTCCATTGGCTAATGCATCAATAACTGACCTTTTGGCATCATTCAACCCATTATAACATTTTTCAATCGGATGCATCTCGAAATTCCATGATGAGGACATTTCTTTAACAACCTCTTAAAGCGCTCCCAAGACTTGCTGACAGACTCCCCAGGAAATTGTTGAAAGTTGTTAATTTCACTTCTATATTTGGCATTCCTTCTTGGTGGGAAGTATCTCATGAGACATTTCTTAATAAAATCGTTCCAATTTGTAATGGACTCGGAAGGCAGAAATTCCAACCAAGGTCGTGCTTCATCTCTAAGCGAATAAGGGATTAACTTCAGTCGCAACACCTCTTTACTACATCTTTGAACCTTGAACGAGTCACAAATGCCCATAAAGAATTTCAGATGTGAGTGTGGATCCTCAAAGGCAGGACCATGGAATTGCCCCACGCTGTCTGCAGTATTTGAAACATCATCGGTTTCAACTCATATCTCTCAGCGTCAATTTCAGGCTCCGTGATAACTCGATTAAAATTGTAAAATGCTAGAGCTACATATGCTCTGATCTCCCTGTCTGTATCGTCTGCTAGTAGTACAACATTGTAAAGGGGTGTTGTTGCTTTAGGGATAGCAGCATAAGGATTCCCATCTACTATTTCCTATATTCTTACATTCGGTCGATTCAGTGGGTTAGGTGGATTCATGTTTGCTGTAGTTTAGTTCCTTCACTATTCTCTTCGGTTTATATGGAAAGTCTGCTCTATTTCGTGATCAATTAGATACTCCAAGCTTCAAAGTCGTTCATGCATCTACAACCAAATCCTAAATGTAAGAAAGAGAAAACTCTTTGAGCTCCATATTCTTAAACACTGTGACTTGAAATAAAACAACAAACTCCCCGACAACGGCACAAAAAATTTGTTGCGTGCTCACAACCAAGGTATACCAGTGCAAGTGTACACTATATTCACAAGTTGTGGTACGAACAAGGTCGAATCCACAGGGACTTAACGTAAATTTTAAGATTATGTTCACAAATACCTAATGTGCAAGAAAATAAAATAGAGATAATTAATGCTAAAAACTGTAAACAAAGTAACACATACAAATACAGTAAATGACTCCAAGAAATACACACAACCAAGGAATGCTGGAACAAGAAAATCTCTTACATAGAAAACAGAATAAGGGTTAACAGATATGGGTTAAGATGAGGGAGATTCCCTACTTTCACTCACTTTCAGCCTACACTCTAGCATAACTTTGCTACTACTGCTCAACTCAACATGGTTCCCTTCCAAGACACCCAAACAAGAATACCCAAAACTCTCGTCGCTAGATGTCCAAGCAATAAAAACGAGTTTTAAGCATGGCTAGGGACCTCATTCCTAAGCATCAACGAACCTACTAGAGAAAAGTAGCTAATCCTCAAATAGAGCAAATCACACTAACCATAGCACTTAGGATCATATAGAAGCTAGCTAACTAAATAAAGTGGACAAAAATGTTCAACAAGATGAAACAATATGCACAACTCTATTTAACAGCAAACAAAATCAAATAGAGTAAAACTTGTCAATGAAATCTCCCCTAAAATGGGGTTTAATTCATAAGGGAGGAGGAAAACGAAATGGGTAAGTAAAAGAAGCAACTCATTTTTAAGAAGAAAACAAAAACGCAGCCTGAAAAGTCGACAGCAACATGAAGTCGACAGCTTCTTCCTTCTATTGTCAACTTCTTCCCAAAAACGTGTGATTCCCTTCCTTGTCTTTAGTTACGCGTAAGAAATATTGCTCTCCTGGGATCTGTCTGTGACGGTTGGGTCCTCATTTTCCTTTTATATCGAGCTCTAATTTTTTGGTACCCAACTAGAAAGTGTGTGGGCATGGTAAAATTTCCGTGTGGGATAATTATTGCACTGTGAACCCATGCGACTTCATGCTTTGACATAAGAATGCTTCCCCACTTCTCCTATGGATCATGTGCTCTTTTCTTGACTCATTCCTTCAGCCTTTATTTCTACACAAAAGAACCGATAAAGGAGAAATAAGCAGAAACTTATGCCAAAACATCAAATTAAAAGGTTAAGGCTCGCTCTTCAAATCCTACATCAATTTCTTAGTCCCATGAACTAAATCAGACACACAACTACAATAATTCAGAAGAAATTACCCAAATAATTACTCATGTTTCTCTCTTTGGGAGAGTTATCACACCCCCCCCAAACTTAAAATGTTGCTTGTCCCCAAGCAAGAGCATGCATTACAACCCTCCAATAAAAAGATAAACTCTACAGCTTGCGAACAAGCATCCAGACTCATGCCCATACATTCTTCTTTTATAAAAATTGCTAGTACTTACATAAACCTAAAAGAATGCTTCGGTTAGAGCACTAAGGGAAACATCTTAACTCTTTTTCTTACTCTAGAAAAAGCTATGTTCTGCCCTGAACCATTTCTTTCTACTTCCTAATTCACAAACACACTTCTCCAAGAGATTCCTTTCTCAAACCCCCCCTTCACTTGCCTAGACCTTTAGCCTTTATAACACTGACTTGGGCTTCTTCAACTATGGGCTACTAGCCTTTCTTAATCCTGCTGTCTCTTTAACTAATGAATACGGGCTACTAGCCCTTTCTTCTTCTTTTTCTTTTTTTTATGGCTAAATTACAAGATTACAAAGATTCATACTTGTACAACAGTTAGCTATCGAAAGCTATTATAGAAAATGAACACTCATACCCGTAAACTTAGAAGATTGCATTATCCTCAATGCAGCTAAAGACAAGAGATGTAAAGCTCCAGTCATATCCCCAAACTTATAGCGAGAAAAGAAAACTTTATGAATGTTCGCTAAGAGAAGGTTTAGTTCCTCGGGGTGGTGAATGTTGAATTATAAGGGGTGATAATAACAAGATAAAAGTAAAGGTCGGTCTCGGATAGGTGGCCATTGAAAATCATCTCCAAAATCAGTGTGGTTTGTGATTAGTACTACGAGAAAGATGTTGGTGCATAGAAAATCAAACATAAACTAGAGGCCGAACAAAATTAAGACTACTCGCAAATAAATGCTCCAGCCTAGACAGGTATGGTGCGACTACATACGCCCTATCATTCATACTACTTGGAAAGTTAAAGGCAAAAATCAGACACTTGCTACACAAGACTAGCACTCTATATTTGTTTAAATAGGGGGTGGGGGATAACATATTGAAGGAAGGAAGGAAAAAAAAAACTAACTAAACTAAAGATAACAACAAAGTGGGAGGGGGTCAATCTAAGGGTCAAAAAGGATAGAGACTTCCTTTTTGTAACCAGACGGAGCTACTCTTTGAGCTCTCTTCCTCCTCTAAGGAATCAATTGTGAGTTAATCTTCCTCCTCAGAGCTACTGGAATGCTCCAGTAGATTCTTCGATCGAGCATGTATAGCGGTTGATGTCGATACAGCTTCCTTCTTTAAGGTGATGTAGCATAGCCAAAATATCATCCTCTATCTTCTTTGCCCGAGACGGAAAGGCTGCCTGGGCTTCCTCCATAACGCAATAACTACTTCAGGACCTTCGCTAATAGGATCGTCATTTCGTTGATGGCACCAGTAGGTAGAGATCTGAATGATCTATGAGTATTAGATGCTCCAACGTAGACTTGTTAATCACCAGCTTCTCCTTTATGAGCTCCTCGTCATCAAATACTGGAACGTATTTCCATAAACATAGCATGGTGATTAAACTTGGGAAGAACAATCAGCCATACTTTTTGGAGGTGCACTGGGCTATCTCGGGTGGATTATTTGCCCTATATCAATTGATTGGCCCTTCAATAAGCAAGAAAAAAGCAGCACTCTCTCTTTTGTAATATATGAGTCATATGTTATTGACATAACTCCACTCTTAACGTAGTACAGCCACACATTTGCTTATGGCGTAAGCAAAATGGAGAGTAGGAAACAAACGCCTTGAGGAGTGACCTTCCCGTAGCCCCTTCAACACCGACAATTTTATTTTTCAGTCGTTGCTCCTTTAAATTCCCAACATACCTTAAATGCCCACACCTACTTGTTGCCTTCTGATCCATGCGCTCGTCATCAATCAAAGCAAATCCCAACCTCATTTGTTATTTGTGATTTGTTCTTTCTTATTTAATATATTTTACTTTACCTTTGCCAAAAAAAAATAACTAACTAAAGAAAATGGAAGCAAATAAATAAATGATTTAGCAATTAGGGAAATAAAACAATTGTGCCCTGCTCCATTTATTCCTGAATGTTGAGGGTCATTCTGGAGCAAATTGGTGAGCTCCAGCTTCTCTCACCAAATCTTCTCCCCAGTAATGCTTCCGCCTTTGACTGTTCACTATAAACTCCCTTTCAGAATCAGCCTCTTGTGACTCGAACAACCTCATGTGGGAAAACATGTGAGATTATGAAAGGACCAAACTATCTCCACTTCAAATAAAGTTTTGCTAGCGTAATAGTTTGGATGCACCATCTTCCCTTTGCGTTGAGAAAGGACTGCTCCCATAGCATAATCGCTAGCATCACACATCAATTCGAATGGTTGTGTCCAATCTGGTGCCGTGATGATAGTAAGTCAAGGCATATTTAAAAATATTGAATGTCTGCAAGCAATCAAATGTGAAGTTAAATTCCTTATCATTTTTCAAGTAAAGAACAAAGAGGATCAAATCTTCTGTAGAAACCCGCATGCCCTATGAAACTGCGAATGCCCTTAACATTCACTGGTGGGGTAACTTCTCAATTACTTCAATTTTTACTTTGCCTACCCTTCTTTAGAACTTCATGCCCTAGCACAATATCTTCTTCTACCATGAAATGACATTTCTCTCAATTTAAGACCATATTTGTGTATTCACATCTTTGCAATACTTTTTTTCAGATTCTCCAGACATTCTGTGAATGATTTGCCGAATGCTGAGAAGACGTCCATGAATTCTTCCACAACCGACTCTACCAAATTAGAGAATATGGCCATTCTACACCTTTGAAAGGTTGCTGGGGCATTACAAAGCCCAAAAGGCATTCTCTTGAAAGCAAATGTCTCGTAAGGACATGTGAATGTTGTTTTCTGTTGATTTTGAGGAGCAATTGTAATCTGGTTATACCTACTATAACCGTCCAAAAAATAGTAATACTCTTGCCTTGCTAGTCTATCCAACATTTGATCAATGAAAGGGAGGGAGAGTGGTCTTTTTTTTTGGCCTTGTTGTGCTTTTCGTAGTCCATACAGATTCTCCATCTTGTTACTATTCTTGTGGGAATCAACTCATTCTTTACATTTTCCACAACAGTCATACCCCCTTTCTTGGGCACGCACTGCATAGGACTTACCCAATCACTGTCAGAAATAGGATAAATAATTTCTACATTCAACCACTTAATTATTTCTTTTTTGACAACCTCCTTCATTGCATGGTTTAGCCTTTATTGGAGTTCTATTGAATTCCTTCTGGCCTCTTTCAGACAACTTTGTGCATGCAAAAGTTGGGGCTCATTCCCTTATATCAGCAATAGTCCAACCAATCGCTCTCTGATATGCTTTCAACACATTTAGAAGCATCTGCTCTTTTTCTTCTGATAGATTTTCATCAATTATGATAGGCCGATCAATTCATTGTAGATCGAGAATAGTTGGTAAAATCTCGTGGAGTTCACCAGATCTAAAATGTAAGATATTCGATCTTTTTGTATTTTTTTTTTTTTTTGAGAACTTATATAAAACTTGTCATTGAGATCTGCTAAACAATTTATAGCACCGACTTTTACGGTGCCTGGCAACTGACAAATCTATTTCGGCTTCCCTCAAGATCAATTATAGGATCAAGAAAAGAAAGTAATTGAGGATCTAGAAATCATTGCTAGGGAGAAAGGATGCCTCGAGAAAGTTGAAAAGGCAGCAGCACCTACAAATGAGGCTACAAAGTATACTAGTTCTACTTTTCTTATTTTTCTTGTTAATTTACCCTAGGCTTGACTTTCAATATGCTAAATTTTTTTACATTTTTAAGACACTTCATATTAATCTTCCATTTGCATATGCATTCAAGCATATGCTCAATTATATTAAATTGATGAAAGAGCTGCTCTCTAAGAAGAAAAAAGCTAAAGGATTTTGAAACAGTATATCTTACTTATGAATGTAGCGCAAGACTTCTTTGTTGAATATAGGGTTTCTAGACGCCACCTTGGGAAGGATGACACAGTTCTGCAAGAGAGAACACTGCATAATTTGATAATAGAGGCAATAAGAGTATCAAAGAACTGAGTGAAAGGTTTTCAAGGCTCAGGATCGTGAAGATTGGCTTGGAGATGATTAATCGACACAAAAACATTACTTTTTCTCCTTTTCCTTGATTTTTCTAGTTTTGTTATGGAACATGATTTGGATTTTGTTGTGTTAATCTAGATATGAGTAGCGAAATTCATTGTCTTAGAGATTGATGTAGCCATTGGATTCTATGAGTTGGTTAATTAATTTTGCCTTGATTTATTTGTGGTTAATCTATTAATGTATTTATCTATTTAATACCTTTAATTTCTTGATCACATATTAACTGTATTTAAATTTAAATCTTACGCTCGAGGAATGTGATTTAGATTCGAATTGAACACATGACTAAAGTGATTTAAAGATTGAGAGATTTGAAATTGCTTTACAAGTTGATAAAAAAAAAAAAAAAACAACTTAAGATCTCTATTTCAATCTAATTAAGAATTTTTCATTATGTGCGGCCTAAGGACTCCACCTTAGTTCAGCCTTTTCTTCCTTGCCCAGATAGGGAACACAATAGAGAAGTGAATATGAGTAAAGCACGATAAACACGACACAATGCTTATGGGGCAACACCTCCAATTTTCCTACATTTGTCTATTTTACTTACAAGTAAGAAATACACTTGTGTGGGATGAGGTGGGATGCGCGAACACTCCTCAATGTCTCCCTTTTATAGGGTATCTATCTACCCTTTTAAAGGGTATACGTCTACCCTTCTACATTGCTACAAACCCACTAAATTTAACAAGTTCACTTCCTCAAGTTTAAGAAGTTCACTTCCCAAGTTTCTCAACCACCATCCTAATAGTAGTCTATTTGACCTATTCTTAACGGAAGTTGACCAAATATAAAGGATGACTAAGTCCCTTCTTAGTTCGTGGCTTATTGAATTCTTCACGTGGGTGCTTTTATTTAGCATGCTCAAAGACCCAAGAGTTTGTTTTGTGCATTGTCCGCCCATAGCCCCGCACGTTTCCGCACATGCCTGCACCTGTCTACGCACGCGTATGCCTGCTTGGGCGCACACCTCATGCATGTGCCTGGCATGCCACACTCAACTGTGCACGCGCTTGTCGACCTCCACCTGCCACCTACGTGCAGTTGACTCTGCCTGCCACCTATGTCTCCTATGCATGCGCGCTCCACCTATGCGCGCACATCCAGCTATGTGCTGTTAGGCTTTGTTGAACGCCCTTCTATGCCTAGTGCCTGCAACATGCACTACACATACCCATTGCATTGTGTAACTTAGCTTGAATAAGTCGCCCTTGTCACACTTTGATCCCATGTTGTCTCCATGTGCCTATGACTTTGGCCGAATTTGCCAAGCCACCTTTTGCTTGTTTTCACTCTTGTAACACTTTGCTTGTTAATGAAATTAAATAAAGATATTGGTTTCATAATTAACAAGGATAATTAACTCTACTCGAGAGGGACAATTATGGTTATTTCTTGAATTATATTAGATTAATTGCTCATTCAGTCTTGGCATATTTAATTTATCTACTTGTAAATTCAATTTGTGAAATAAATTTCCTAGGACCCTTTTCTCATTGATATTTTTACTTGCTTGTTTTTATTTCAATTGATTTTCGTGATTGTTTCTTTATAGTATCTTTGATTCTCTAAATAAAATTTGAGCTTCAGTCTCCATGGTACTCGAGTGAACTAGAAACTCAATCTACATGATATCATTGGTATTTACTTACTATTTATTTAAACTTCACCCGTGCACTTGTAGAAAGTAAATTTTTGCTACGACCCTGCCTATTATAATGCCAAAAAAATTGTTTCATGTTGCAAGAATACCCAAACAGATACTTAAAATTATAGGAACATCCTTGGTGGAAAATAACTCTTCAATTTTTGTGTATGTCTACCTTTGTTAATCAAGCTACTCACTTCTCTATTGGTTAGGGGTCCAAGTAAAAAAATGATTTAAAAAGTTCTCTCCTTTAGAATCCATTGGTCAGTATATACATCTGTTGAGTTTGAGTTTCCATCCCCAATCCTCCATCTTACACCTGTGATAGCCAACTCCCTCTCCCTAAGAATACTTGTCCAAACTAACTATTTATATTTATTATAGCGATCACAACCGGTAGATAGTCATATAATTCCAAACAAACCAATGACACTCAACCAAGAAGCAACTAATAAATTCTAGATAATGAGATGCATCATACAACCAAACATGCAAAATCCAATAAGTTTCAATGTGGTTTTATGACATTAAATAAACCATCCATACCTAGTTACAAGGGACTTATGTGTTTGCCATTGTACGATCAAAACAAATCTAGTTAAAAAACATGGACAAACTATTAGCAATTATAGATAAAAAGTTACAAGACAAAAATTTAATGCATGGTATAGTTTATGTTCATAATCATTACTCTAGAGCAAATTAAATGTAAATAAGCTTGTTATAGTACTCCTAATTGATCTCAAGCCAGCCTAAAATGTGCACCAAACTAGCTAAAACTTGGATAAAGGGAACTAAATGTATTTGACTCACTCATAAATCCTTTTAAACTGTCAGTTTGTGCATCAAACTAGCTAAAACTTAACTAAAGGCAATTGAATGTATCTAATTGACTAACTCATAATGCCTTTCAAAACTAGAATTTTATGGACAAAACTAGTTTAAACTGCCTAAAAGAATTTTAAGACCTCCAAGAATAGAAAGCGTTTCTAAAAGATGACAAACATATTGTGTCCACACAACCGTGTTGGATATACGTACAAGTGTACACTATATCTGTCGATTATAGTACGAAACGAGGTCGAATCCACATAGACTTCGGAAAATATTCTAAACTATGCTTGAGGATACCAAAAGTACAAAAATAATAAAATATAGATGATTGTGTTGAAAGTAAAGAAAGATATCATAAACAAACAATAAACGATCCCAATAGCGAACACGCTTTAAAATGTTGACAATAGAAAGAATCTATAGCACAGAATAATAAAAATGGGGAGTAAATAGGTATGGAAGAACAGGGGAGATATAACATGCTTTCACTGAATCTCAACCTTTACTCTAGCAGGAAATTATTCATTAATGCTCAACTCGACATGTTTCCCTTCCGAGACACCCAAACATGAATATCTAAAACTCTCGTTGCTAAAATATCCAAGCAATAAACACAAGTTCTAAGCATGATTAGGGGACCTCATTCCCGAGTATCCACGACCCTACTAGAAAAAAGTAGCTAATCACAAATAAAGCAAGTCAGCTACCCGTAAGCCCTCCCGAGTCAACAGATGCTAGAATATAAAACAGAGTGACCAACAATATTCAGTAAGATTCAAGAAATAAACACAACTCTATTTAATAACAAATGAAATCAGGTAAAGTTTCGGTTGTTCGTCAGTTACAGCACGTAAATCTCCCCTAAAGTGGGGTTTAGCTCATGGAGGAAGAAGAAAACATAATGGGTAAAGAAATTTTACAACCCATTTTGAGAAAAGAGAAGAAAACCGAAGATGGAGATGACAGCTCGCAGCAGCAGCCGAATATCCTCCTCTGTCGTCAGCTTTCCTCTGAAAATGGTGAGATTCTTCTTCCTTGTGTTTTCCAACACTAAAAAATGTGCTCTCTTGGGATCTGTGTGTGGCGGCTAGGTTAGAATGTCTCTTTTATATCGGGTCCCAACTTTACAGCACCCAGCTGGAGATTATACAGGCATGGTAATTTTCTTGTGTCTAGGACAGTTACTGCACTGTAAATCCATGCTCCAGCGATTCTTCGCTCCAGCTTTCTTCTGCCCTACCTTGAATATGCTTCATCTACTCTTTTCTAGGCTCAGCGCTTTCTTCATGCATTGTCTTCTCCTGCCAAACATGCACAATTAAGCCAAAAATACGAGAGTTTAGCACAATTTTTAGTCAAAGCAATGAAGACATGATACTTTAGCTCGAAATTCAATTTCTAAAATTATTGATGATGTTTAAGAGCTAAAATAGACACACTTTAACATTTCTCTGTATAAAATCACCCAAATAATCAATATAATAACTCTCTTTAGGAAACTTAGCACATGCCTAAGGCGTTCCTAAATAATTTATCAAAACTAAAAACTAAAGCACAAACAACATAGAAAATCAAATTCTCAATACAAAAATCTATTAACCAATTATTGTATCTTCACATAAGAAGAAAACGAATAAGAGATATCAAACAAACAGAACTAAAGAGTACAAGATAAAATAGTCAAACAGCTTACATAAAAGTATTTATTGAATTACAAAATGAAAACTTGTTTAAAAATAACAGTAATTTAATTTTGAGTCTCTAACAATATAGAGCTCCATAGAGAGAAAAAAATTGGAATTTTACCTAGAAAACCACCAGAGAGATACGCACAGAGACGCAGTGGTGACAACATAGCAGTGACAGCCTATTGAGAGGCTCAGATTACATCCTCATAAGAAGAAGAAGAGGAGTCTCGACCGATGAGAGAATGTGCCAGAGAGAGGACACGTCCACAGCCAACGAAGAGAGTGAGGAAGGTAGGAAAAGGGTGAAGAACGAAGGGAGGGCAAAAGAGCGGAGGGAGGGAGGGAGAGGGAGTGGTGATGGCAGGCAAAGGAGGGGGGCAACGTGGAGGTACGGAGAGGGAGGAAGGAAAAACACACAAATGGAAGGAAAATGAATAGGGCTAAATGAAATCGTGGTCTATGGCAACGAAATAAAAATTCATTTCGAAAACCTCTAAATTTCATTGCCTTAAGTTTCAACAAAAAAAATTAGGTGTTGAAATTCCCACTCTTTTATCAAAACATTTGGCGACGAAATTTGAAATTTGTTACCATAAGTTTTGAATAAAAAATTTCAAATTATTCAAAACTTTTGGCGATGAATTTCAACTCGTCGCAATAAGGTACTTTTGGCGACGAAAATATAAGGTACTTTTGGCAACGAAAATTATTTTTCGTCGCCAAAAGTAACTTATTGCGACGAAATTTAGTTTATTGCCAAAAGTTCCATCGCCAGAACAGAAAATTCTTTGTTGTATGGGAAGGTCATGTTGGTATATTTTCATTGTGGAAATTGTCATGAGGAAATATTTTTGCTTTTAAGATTTGGCTACCAGGGAATGTGTCGATTCAAAATCCTCCACGCATGTTTCACCAGCAAAGCTTTGTTAAAAAGATGAGAGCCATACAAACCCAGTCCTGTATTTCTTTTGGTTTCATAAATGTCTTTCTAAATGAACTTTATTGCCAAAGTGAGCATAGCTCAACGGTAAGTGACATATATCTCCAACCTAAGAGGTTGTGAGTTCAATCCCCCACCTCTACCTACCTGATGTACTAAAAAAAATTAAAATTAAATGAACTTTATTGCCTTTTTTTTATTAAGCTTCCCCCGCTCCAGAAGTTAGTTGCTAGGTGACTAATCTCATGCAACAACTGGGAGGGACTTTAAAGTAATTGATGGTATATATTGGACAACTTGAGAAGCTGTCTTTACTAGAATTTCCTTTCCATCTCCAGAAAAAATATGGCTCTTCCAAACTTGGAAAATCTCGTACACCTTATCTTTTATGAAGTTTAAGAATTTATTTTCTATCATTAAACCACATTCTATTGCTCATGTAGCACAAAAGCTCCATTCAACTTTATCATATAAGTTTTACCCATATCAATCTTTTAAGAGATGCTTAGCAAATGAGCCATTGATA